TTTAACGAGGCACATATATACAATCAATAAAATAACTCATTCCTCTCTATTCATATTTGCTTAATTTTGCATTATTTTACCATAAGATGGTTTATGCTGAATCCGAGGTCGAATTCGAACCTTAGCATGATCTACTTCACTTTACGTCGATGGATCTCTCTCTTAGACAAGGTCGAGTTCGAACCTAAATACGTTTCGTTTAAACCCGAGGGCGAGTTCGAACCTTGATATAATCCATATTACTCTTAACCCGAGGTCGAGTTCGAACCATAGTAAGAGTTACCTTACGCCAAATCGAGGTCGAGTTCGAACCTTAGTAAGAGTTACCTTACGACAAATCGAGGTCGAGTTTGAACCTTAGTAGGACTTACTCCACTCTAAGCCGAGGTCGAGTTTGAACTTTGGCACGATCTATTTCACTCTAAAGCCGAGGTCGAGTTCGAACCTTGGTACAATTTATTCTGCTTTACGTCGTTGATCAAGAGATTGTTTAACTGATCCTGGATAGTAGGATCGAGATTGAGTTCTCTAACTTTAGAGGAGATTCTATAGAACTTTGCTAAGTGACCTTTGCGGCCACATTTAAAACAAGTCCTGGTTTCCCTGAAATTTTTTGGGAAATTGGTGCCCTGAGGGGTGGTTTTGACAGCAGGAGGCCTACTGGTTCTGGGATTGGAATGCCAAGCCTTAGACCTGGAGATCTTTGGTCTAGGTTTTTGGGTTTTACCCAGCAGGGGCTGAGAAGGTTTTCTGCGCTTGTGGGTCTTAGTAGAATCCTTAGAGCAGGGAAGACCAAATTGCTGGCAAAAATTTCCTAAATCCTTGCGGTTCTGGGCTTTTTCTTTGGCCAGTTGATTTTGGATTTTGTCATCTTGACAGATTTTGAGGGCTACTCTTTGGACATAAGCTATGAGATTACCATAACTTAACTGGTTGTAAGGGATGTCACCATTAAACTGGGATCGGATTTTTTCTCTAACCTTATCTCCTAAAGACTTTGGAAGGCCAGCTAGGAATTTTTCTTTCCAGAAAGGTTGATTACTATCATCCCGTGTATAAACTCTAGTAAGGAAGGTGTCCTTATACCACCTAAAATCTCCTAAAGTTCTACACTTAAGATTGGATAGGAGTTCACCAGATCGGTCTTTCCAGATGCTAGGATCTCCGATGAAATGTTTGATGATGGCCATGATAAGAGTATTGACAACATCAGGGATAGACTCACCCTTAGCTGTGGTGATGAGACTACCTTCAGCATCTGTTTTGACGGCTGTAAGGATCTCATGTTTCTCTTCTCTAGAAACATAATTATCCCACCAACCTTTGAGTTGCCCAGAAAATCCGGACGTTAAAATCTCAACGATAGCTTCATCAGCACTATCTAGAGCAATTTGATATGCTGTAGAAACCATTGTCATATGTTGAAGAGTATTAAGGATATTATACTCGGTTAAACCATCTATGTTCCACTCATAGATGTTGGTGGCACTGAATGATCGGAAACTTTGATCATTCTTTTCCTCAAGAAGGAGGTCTGGGGCCGTGGCCCGATTATAATAAAGCTTAGTAGGCTGCTTCCAGTTGACAGCCTTAGTGATAACAGGATTAACCTGAAGAGCGGACTTATTACTGGGTTCAGTGTCTTCAGGGTCAGAATCTATAGAGGAGGTTCCTAATTTGTTAATCTTAAGAGATTGTTCTTTTTGAGAGGTACTCCTAGTAACAGGTCCTATTTTTACAGATCCGACTTGTGATGAACCAGGGGTATTTGGAATAATAATAGAGCTATCCTTGACTCCTTTAGATTCTTCTAAAGTTTTAGTCCAATTAAGATGGATGGCCCTAAATTTATTTTTAGTCTGACTAGAAAGACTAAAAGGTTTAAACAAGGGTTTGGTAACTGATTCATCATCCTTAGTACCAGAGGACGAGGATTTTCTTTCAAGATTTTCTCCTAAAACCTGGAGATACTTGTTGGTGTAGTTGTTTTGTTCCATAAGGGCTCTAATATCCTGAGCTCCTACGGTTTCATCCGATTTATACTTAAAAGGTGAAGCTAAATACTTATCCTCTAAGTTCGGGATGTGGTAACTACTGTTGGGCGGAAGGTCAGATTTAACCAACTTACCATCCTTTCGGTGCCACACAGTAAGTGTATTAACAGAAAGGTCTTCTGTGATGGTAATAGTCCAAGGAGGATAGATTTTGTTTCTACGAAGGTAGACATTTAACCAATCGAAGAAACACACATGGGTTTGGACATTGTTAAGAAAAACATAGAACAAATCTATGATCTCTGACCTACGGTTACCCTTAAAACTATTAAGAAACCATTTTCTCTGAGTTGTCCAAACATCAGAGTAGAATTCCTTTTGAAGGGAAGGTTTGTCTATGGTGTACTTATTCATAAGTGACCATATTGCATTTCAGATTGAGTAGGGGAATGGATTTCAGATGAGGTTTCTTCCTCAGCCCTACTGTAGATTGTTCTAGGAATAGACGAAGAATTGTCTAATCCTTGAAGGTTGGTTTCAGGAATAATGATTCTAGGAGCAGAGTTCTTAAAAGATTGGGAGGCTACAGAAAAAGATCTTCTAGCACTATTGTACTCCGATCTAGTAGCTTCTGATCTTGAAGAGAAAGAATTTCTCCGGTCAAAGATGATTTCTACCTTACCGGCCTCAGACTGCCTAATTTCTTGGAATTCTGGGGCTTGTCTAGGTAAAGTTGGGGTTGCTCTATCGATTTGCCAAGATGTAGGTAATTCAACCTCATCCCATTTTATGAGTTTGGGAACAGCCACGTTGGCTTTTGTCATGTCTGTGACAAACAAAGTGGTTTCCCGATCAGTTGTTTTAAGCAGAACCCTTGAATTACAAGTGTTCATGACTTTGTATTGGATTCTGTAAAGAAGGGCTGCAGGGATAGATCCTTCTTTCATGTCCAACCCATGCAGTCTGATGTTTAAAAACAACGAATCTAGAACATTTTTGTCTAAAAGACTCACAGTTTTGTTTGGGAAACAATTGAAATAGACAGGACCATGTCCTAAACTTGTTTCTACGGTTCCTATAAGAGAATCGTGGAAGTCATTGTGCCTAATATCTCTAAGACACATAAGGATTGAGGCATTAAGCCCTTCTCTGATAAGAGGTTTAACAGCTACTTGAACACATCCTATATGGAGGTATTTATACTTCCTAGAATGCTCAGTAATTGATTGCTTTGTGAGAAGGTGGAATTCTTCACCAGTTTGGGGGTCCAAAGGGATGTTGTTTTCGGCAGTCTTGATGATATAATCAGAATTGCGGACATGTTTGTTTTCATTAGGGATGTAAAGCTCATCCTGAGGGATTTTAGAGATTTCCCAGTTATCGATTGCTTGATTGATATCTTCAAAGCAGACTTCCTCTTCGAAGATATTGTTTTTAGGAGGTATTTCCTCCACAGATTGGTGTTGCTCTGTGAGCAGATTTTTGGAAGAAGTAGAGGAGGAGGAAGAAGCTTTGATAGTTAGACGACGGGAAAGGGAGCGAAGGAAATTACTCATGGTTTATCAATATCTAGTATCATTACCCTCACTTGGTTCCATAAGAAGTTATAGTAAGGTCTAGGTTAATTTTAATACAAAACCATCATATAAAGTTATCGAAGAGTTAAGGATCATAAGCTAATTTTACTTAAAACTTTTTTTTTTTTTTTAGTTTGTGGCGTTGTTGGTGACTCTGTGACGAGTCTCTCTGGGGGTGTATGAAGACACTCTTCTGTACCAGAAGATCCAGAGTTTTCCAGCCAATAAACCAGTTAGAGAAATCTTTACAAAATTTTTCAGATCTTAGTAAGTATCTATCATGATCTACAATCAGCGTATAAACTCCTGGACTTACAGCCTCTCCTTAGGTCTTATAGCCTCACGCCCCATTCCAGAAACACCATAGATCCTCTACTAGATCCGAATGAAAACTTACACAATATTTACAAAACAAAATTTTAAAGAAAGCAGTAAAGGGTAAAACGTAGCTCATAGATCCAATGGGGAAGTCCGCACAATCTCATCCTGATTTACTAATTTCAAATATTGTATTCATAACTTATATCTTTATGTAACTGTTAAAAAAGGACTAAAATGTGATATTTAAATTTTTTTGCAACCTAAACATTTATAGGCTGTATTGTGTTATATATGTACCATATATACAAGGAATTTCAAATTTATGAACCCTATATAACTCACCTTAATATATGCCAATATTTGTTCACAATTTATATATACGCCACTAAATAATATTTTGAATTTCAGCCAAACGTGTTTCTCCACTTGAGTCTTCTTGGTGAAGTGAAGCATAATTCTTTCCTCCTTTCGAGTAATTTAATAACTTTCTTTCTCCACATCAGCCAAAACAATGCCAGAGAGAATTACTTCAATATAGTTCACTTTCAAGAAAAGGACTGGCCACACGATAAAGTGCACAATAAAGACAGCAAGATACGAAGCCTTATTTTTGGTTAATTCCAAAACAAAACTATAAAGGAGAATACGAACCTTTAATTTGGTTTTGCTTAAGCTTGTGTTTTACTCAACATAGTCATGGATATGCATATCATGCACGAAATTTTTCGTTAATCCTAACTCATCTGATCGCTATGCTGACATATTGTAACATTTCCGGTTTTAGATACTTATAATTGTAACACGATAAACATAATTTAAAATAGAATTATACGTTGAATAATATAGAAGAATCTTGGAAAATAGATTTCATATTTAAAATTATCATAATGGAAAAGTATAAATTTCAATGGTGGAATATTAAGAATTTAAAAGAGTTAGTTAGAAAGGAATAATAATATAGAACAAATACAAAAATTGTAATCGGTGATCACTTCAAATTCACTAGATCTAAGACAAGTGATTTAGAAGTGTGGGGGTTCGGAGCTTTGGTATTATATATATAAAGGAAGGCTTGCGTTCCTCTCAGTATCTTACAGTTAAACTCCCATTTTACGTCTATCATCATTCTTCCTTCCAACCTTGCAAAATGGATACCCAAGGTGAGTCCAATTAATAGAATGAATGAAAAATGAGGACATTTATATACTAGTTCTATCATTTCCAAATTCTCATTGTAATTAGGTTAATTACTATAATTGATTAGGAATAAATATTTTTTTTATATATTATTATTCCATCACATATTGTCATGTATGATTAGTCATGAATTAGTCATATAGGATTTTATTTGAGAGCGTAAAAATATTTATAATCACTAATGTATCTTCAGTTAATAATTAATGTTTTGTTGGCGGATATGGCTGGTTTGATATTTGCATCCATATGGGTATGTTGTGATTCCATTAATTCTCACACGAATTAATCCTTTGTTTCTCTAGAATCATCAACAAGTTTTGTTTCACTAGAATCACCAACAATAATTGAAGGAGCGGAAGTTGACAACATGGATCTATTTTCATTGTTCCGAGGTTGCGTATTGGAAGGGAGATGGGATTACGTTGTTCCGGCATATAAAAACAACAGTGAGTTCCACAAGATAAAGATCAACGAAAGCAGAGGCACTGCACTACACGTGGCAGTGAATGATGGGAGAATGGAACTTGTGAACACTCTTGTTGGTGCAATCATAGAGCATGAAGGGAGGGAAGTGTTGAGAGATGATAGTGCATTGAGATCAACCGATGAGAGAGGGGACACTCCTTTGCACCTTGCAGCTTCAAGAGGGTTCATTGGTATGTGTAAGTGCATCATTGGGGAATTTGGGGAAAGGAAGGATTTGATTAAGGTTATGAACAACAAGGGTGAATCACCTCTCTTTAGGGCTGTTCTCACATGCCAAACAAACACCTTTGTGTACCTCTATCATGTTTCCAAAGATTTGGATGTTCCACTTAGGAACAATGATGGGGATACCATCCTTCATGGTGCCATTTGGAGAGAATTATTGGGTAAGCAACCTTTTAAGTTCATGTTCATACAACATTTTTTTATTGCTTATGTATATTTTATTTTATATATGAATCCAAACTAAGTTTATTGTTTCGATCTTATAAGAATATTTAACTATGCTTTGAGATATAAACTCTGGAATTAAATTTGTATAATCTAATTTGATAATATTATGCTAAGTCTAATACTACAAGAGAAGTTGACGTAGTATACATTAAGTCTTAGACAATACTATCATAATTGAATTGACCATCAACTCGATCAAAGTAGTGAATTTGTCAATTATTAGTCGAACTAGTGAATTAGTAGTTAAATCATGTGAATCGATTTACATATAATTTTTTAAACTAGTATAAAAGTTATTTGTGTCATATGTTAAACAAATAACTTTATTATAGTTTAATGGTAGTTTGATAAGTTGCAAATAGTAGAAATATAGGTCAACACCTAGGAAGAAACAAACTGGTTTGTTTGGTCCAATCAGATTTCACCAATTTGATTTAGTTTCTTGTTGGTTTCATGATGTCATTAGTAGACCAATAACTTACTTGACTCATTCTCCGACTCAAATTACTCCCACAATTGGCTTTTGTTCAGATTAGTCCGAGCTAGGTTTGATAATGTTGGTCTTAAGTTCAGACATTGTTATTATCAATGCAATCTTTTCTACTGATAAACAAGAAAGATGAAATAACTAAATAATTCTATATTTATTGAGACAAATTATAAAACAAATTACATTTATTTAATTGTGTCGGGGGAAGCTTTTTTTTTTTTTTCCTTCTTTTTCTTCAAGAGTGTGTAAGAATTGGTAAATTTGTACTTATGTACTTATTTATCCAAAATTGCTTTGATAGTTGGGAATCGAAGAAAGATCTATTTACTTTAAGAGTAAATTTATTCACATTTACTCCACTTATTAATAATTTATATTCTACATCAAGTTTTAACAATCTAATAGTTGAATATTAAAAGTTCTCAATACATATAGATCATATCTAAATTTTTAAAAAAAGTTAAAAATTATTTGATATTTTATTTTATTAATTAAATTAACATATAACATTTTTTATTTTACAATTTTATCTTATATAAGTGGTATACAATAAAAAGACAAAAATGTTATAAAAATGAGAAATAAAAATATAATTTAATCTAAATATTATTAAATATTAATTTTTATATCATCTATCTAAATTAAAGTCATAATCAACATTATAGTCTAACGATCAACCAATAAATATTTAATGGTAGGATTACAATTATAGACCTTATAAAATTTAAAAACTAAAATCGTAAAAATTAAAATCGAGGGATCAAATTTGTATTATTAAATTTTAAGCAGAAAAAAATTACAATTTAGTCATATAAAGTTACGTGAAATGATTGAACTTGATCTGATAAACAAATTTGATTGCATAACACTACTCATGAATAATTGGTGTGTGTGGTTTGATAGATTTGGCAATTATAATAACTCATTGCTACCCTGGACTTGTGGACACGCGAAACAAAGACGGGACCACTCCTCTCAAAGTTCTTGCATGCAAGCCTTCAGCTTTCAGAAGTGGAACCAATCTCCAATGGTGGAAGCATATTCTATATTATTGTAAGTGTTAACGTTGCTTGGTGATTGAGTTCATAAGCTTTTTTTTTCTTAAAACAGTGATATTAAATTTAGGGGTGGCTCAACCCTGAAGCAAAGCTTTAGTCTCCCCCAGAAAGAAAAAACCTCTCAACTACATATTATTCCCTGAAAAGCTTTATAATTAAGAGTTTATATTATTGTAAGAATGCATTCATCCGTATATAAAATTTTATGTAAGACAATTTTTCTTTGTAACTAGGTTGTTTAGTATTTGTGTGTGCACACATAGGAGAGAATGAGATATTGAAAAGAGATAAACTATGTTTGTAAGTTAAAATTTTTTAGATAAGAACTTGCTTGCATTCATTGAAGTGAAAATTAAATAAATTGTCTAAAATTTAAGTGATATAAATGGACTCACTTAAAAAAAAAAGTGGATTTCTTATTTAAAATGTATTAATTGGAAATACCTCGACACACACAAACCACTCAACTATTCCCTTAAAAAATAAAGAACTTTACAAGACTTTAATCTCAAAAACTAACCTTATTGGAATGCATTCCCTCTATATATATTTTATATAAGACCATTTTGTTGTTGCAATTTTATTTTTCAATTTTAATTGTGAGTGATTTGGTTCTTTAAGTTGTTTGTTTGTTTGTTTTTTTTTTCTTTTCAAACAAATCATTAATCAAGGCTATATATTTATTTTAAAAATTAAGCAACTCTATCTATCACCAAATTATTTTCTATTAAACTCCTCAAATTTTTGTTACAAAAAACAAAAACTCCTCAAATTTTTATGTTTCACTCTAGATTTTACAAATCGAATCAATAAAAATGCATATTGCTTAAAATTTAGCAAACAAAATATCAAAATTCATCTAAAATATAAAAAATATTGTTAATTGTTTTTTCTCTCTCTTCAAACTCTAAATCATCATCTCATAATCCTTCAAAAAATTATCAATTTTTTTATATTAAATTTCTTATTTAAAAAATTTTAAAATTATTTGATATATCAAATTCATCATTAACCCTCAAATGTTTATTTAAAAGGATATATTAAATATTTCAAATTGAAAAAAAAAATTGACGTGGATAGTATTTTTTAAAATAAAGATGCTTGATTAACACAACAAATAACTTAATTAATGAAAATCATATACATACTCTAAATTAGAATAATCAAAAATATAATTAAGCAAAATAATAATCTTATAAAACTTATACTACAAGAAATATTATATGTAATGATATACAAAAAGTATCATTATAGATACAATATATGTAGGTATAAATTTATTTAACATATAGTTACAAACAATTTTAATATTAATTTTAAATAAGATTTCAAAAATATATATTATATATCATTATAATTTATATTTATATTTTGTTAATAATATATCAATATATATTGTATTTATAGTGTAAATAAAAATAATTTTTAATAATAAATATTGTGTCATTATTATATATATGTTATTATATGTCAATTTTAATTTTTTTAGTGATATATATTTTGAAAGAGCGAAATAGCATTTATTTCAGTTCATTTATTTATCAAAACGCACTTGTACTATTATTTCTATTGTTTTCATGTCAAAGGTATACTTGTAGAACCTCTAGACACTGATAAAGCAATAAAATCCTATATGGAGAAAGTTGATAAACGTCACGATGACCGTGAACTCAAAGGTAACTTTCTGATGACTACAAATGTTATCACTGAATTGCCACTTACACATGGAAGTGAATTTCGTCAGATCTACTACCTTTTCTTCTTGTTTTTAATTTCCACTTTTATGATCTTATGATATTATATAAATTAACTTTTATGTTTAAAATCATATATATTTATTGATGAGAATAATAAAAATATTAGTTCATTTATTTTTTAAATCTTGCATAGCTATTTAAATTTCTATATTACTATAATCTTATTTTATGTATTTGGTTAACTTATTCAACACGAGTTCTTCCAATCAATTTAAATGCCTTTTTATCTTATTATCATAAGAATGATTAGAGTACATAAGTAAGAAATAATTTTAATCTTATAAATTGATTGAAAAAGTTAAATTAAATTCAAATTCATGACATAAAAGATAAGTTAATTTTATATTTATTGTTACTCGACATTTTAAATTGTATATTAATATAAATTATATATATATAAATATAATATACTTATAATTGATATTATATATATATATATTATTAAATATATAATTTAAAATTAATGATATATTATAAAAGTTATTTAAGTTGTACTTATTATAAATAAATTTATTTGAACAAGTGATCATGGTAATGTTTGGTGAGATTTTTCTTGCTCTCATAAGTAGTGCTTTCCTTCGAAATTCTTTTTGAAAGTAGTAGAAAACAGTATCTTGCCGGTTTCTGTTCAATCGATCCAATCCTATATAATTCTATTTGTAAATCAATTGGTAGAGGTAAAGTAGATTCAAATTCACCGACTAGGAAGATAAGTTGATTTTATTTTTATTGTTACTCGATATTTCAATTAGTCATCATTTGAGATGTATCATTCCAGTGAATATAGAAAATGAAGGGAAGAAAGCACATAAAATTTTTACTCCACAAAAGTATGCCCGAGTAATTCGGTTTGTAAAGAACGCAGTTCGATTAGCATTCGAAGGCCTTAGCGTCTCTGGATTGGGTGTCACTGCAGAGGGTACGTGGTTCTCTCTTCAATTACTTCTAATTATTCTCATTTAATATTTTTACAATACTTTTCATAATATATATTTTTCTCCATGATCTCTCTTCATTCATTTCATTATTCTTAATATGTTATCTCACATTTCTGCTGGCTTGTGATCATTATTTTAATTAAGTGGGTATAGCATTATATTTTCTTAATATATATGTATGATGCTTAGTGTAATGGGTTTAATTAACTGTGACGTACATACAACTGGTTTTGCTTCGTACATGTATATACTTGATTCAACTTCGAAGACTTGAAAGCAATAAAGAAGATAAGGCAGAAGCACAAATGGGGTCGTCAGCTCTTAAATATTTTTATGACAAGACCGTATGAATCGTATATGGGAATTAGTGGAGGTCAACCATTTATGAGACCTAACGTTGGAGGAAACAAACAGGATCAACCCTTCATCACACAACAACAGTTACAAAGTAAGCAATAAACATAATTTGATTAATACACTAATTTATGTTGATGGTGGATACGCGTAAGATAAAAAAATATAAGTGAATAGTTTTATCATTACAATATATTCTCTCCGATCCCATATAGTAAGTGTCGTTTTTTAGGAAAAAAAATATAGTATTAATGATTTTTTTCACTTATATTTCTTATAATATTTTTTAGAAAGTAATTTGGTGTTGTATTATTTTGACAAAGAAAGTTAAATTCCTAAAATCACTATTAATTTTTTTCATCTATTTATGAACTTTTTATCTATATAAAATAACTTCTAGTACGACTTATTATGGGATGTATGAAATATTATATATTTTTTATTATGAAATTATGAAATTTATATTTTTTAATAAATTTTAAAGAAGTTAGAGTATATTTAAAAGAGTGTGATGTAGAATTTTTTTTTTTATATATATAAAAAGAAACTTATATATGTGTGATTGATAACAATAGGTAAATGATTGATTGGGTGCACTATTATCACTTCATTTTGGTCTGAATAAATAGAGCGAAGAAGAAAATTGATATTTGATTTACCTTATAATTCTTAAAGCATAACTACCTATATAATATGTGTATATTTGCAGTGGTGGCTGCAGCTAGCTCAAGGCCAGAAGAACACAGAAGAATAGATGAATCTGCGACAAGAAAAGAGGAAAAGGAGACAACATTCGTGGGGATGGCAAAAGCAGGCATAGTAGAAGTGGTGAACGAGCTTCAAAACAAAGTACCAAGTTCCCTCCACGACAAGGAAAGCTTGGTTGTTGTGGCAATGAAGAACATAAAACTACACAAACTGGGAGAAGCACACCACGTTGACAAAAGGGAGACTGCGTTTCTGGCTGCGGCGAAGAACGGCATCGTGGAGATCGTGTTCGCTGTTCAGGCCAAAATACCGAGCGCTGTGCACGAAACCAACTCCAACAACGAAAACGTGTTGCTGGTGGCAGTGAAGAACAGACAAACCAAGGTTGTTGAGGTGCTGAAGAAGCATTTGGATAAGGACCTGTTTGCTAGCTTGATTTTGGAAGTGGATAACAGGGAGAACACCGTGTTGCACTTGGCAGCAGGTACTTCCGGTAACAGTGAAAGAAGTTGGCAGATTGCTGGTGCTGCCATGCAAATGATGTGGGATATCAAGTGGTTTCAGGTTCGACCTAATTTAGAAATATTTTTGAGAGTTTTTTTAGTTTTAGGGTTTAGAGTTTAAAGTTTAAGATTTAGGGTTTAGGGTTTAAAATTTTTGATGCAGTACATGAGAGCCCTAGTCCCGGAGCACTTCACATTCAGAACCAACAAAGACGACAAAACCGCCGGGGAAATCTTCAAGCAGAAACACAAAGACCTAGTGAAGGAGAGCTCGGAGTGGTTGAAGGAGACGTCGAACTCCTGCTCGGTGGTGGCAGCGCTGATCGCCGGCGTCTCCTTCGCCACTTCGAGTACGGTGCCTGGGGGCACCGACAAGGGGAAGCCGGAGCTGGAGGGACAACCGGCGTTCGACGCCTTCGCCATCGCCTCCCTGATCGGGCTCTGCTTCTCCGTGACGGCTCTGATCATGTTCCTGGCCATCCTCACTTCCCGGAAACAGGCCCAGGACTTCCGCAAGAGCCTGCCATTGAAGCTTCTTTTCGGCCTCAGCTCGCTCTTCGTCTCCATTGCTTCCATGCTCGTTTCGTTTTGCGCTGCGCATTTCTTCGTGCTCAAGGACAAGTACAAGAACATTCTGTTCCCGGTTTACATCGCTACGTGCTTGCCCGTTACATTCTACGCGGTGGTGCAGTTTCCTCTCTATGCTGATCTGCTTAAGGCCATTTTCAAGAAGGTGCCGCAACCTAGTATTACCAGTAGCCAGTTTTAATTTTATAAGAGGATTATTTTTGCTTTCTGCGTATTGTAATAATCCAAGGAATTCTCGTAAATCTCTCATCAGAGTTGTTATTTTGAATAAGATAATAAAAAATTGTTAATTATAAAAAAGATATAATTAGTTTTGGTTTCAAAATTTAAAAGATATTTTATGTTTAAATACGATAAGAGTGTAGCTTATGTCACTACAATAATTATGTTATATTTAGATAAGATAAAGCATATGTCACTATTAATGTCTATAAATATATGTAATTTTTTATTTTTAAATTAATAATAATAACAATACAATATTTTACAATAATTAATTAGTTAATGTCTTGTGATTGTTGGCATATGGACTTTTAAGAGTTTCTTAATTTGTAGAAAATAAAGAACCTTTTTCGATAAAAAAAATGATCTAATGTGTATATCTAAACATAAACAAACTCTGTTGATCTTGATGTGAAACACAATATATACATTTCACTTTTGAATTTTGTAATTTGAGCGTATTTGAATTTTGAACCACTAGGTGGAGTGGGGAGTCGGGTAGTATCTAGAAGCTAGGTTTTAATTGTTGTCACTGTTTTGCACAAAAAAAAAGAAGGAGCTAGTAATTAAAGTAGTATAATGCATGGATTATACATTATTAATTAATGTTTTCAGATTTTTTTTTTTGAAATTTTTTTGATTGGTCTTTCAAAATATTTATTTATGGTTTTATAAAATTAATAATATTCATAAATTACAAAATATATATATATATAATATATATATATATATATATATATATCATTCTTAAGTTTTATTTAGGGATGATAGAGTACTTAGTTCCTAAACTTTTTGACTTGTTATTAAATAAGTCTCTAAATCATAAAATTTGTAATCAAATCTTTGATTTTTTTTGACTTTTGAAAATAGGTTCACGTGGTCAAGAGAGAACAAAGAATACTCTTTCAAAGTTATGGTTTTGTAAACGAACCATGTTCCAATGAATTATAAAAAATTGGAAATATCTAGAACATAGTCACACTTTGCACAAATAACTCAAAATCTCTTGTGGTGCTCATTTTGAATCTCTTGCTTAGCGAGACTTGGTCTCAATTAGCGTCCAAATACACCATGTTCTTTATGCTCTTGCACTTAATATTAGTGAGAACATAGTCTCGCTTAATGCATAAAAAATGTCACTTTTTATATGGATCCTACACTTAGAATGAGGACTCTTACACTTAGTGCCAAAACCTTGATTCTCATTATGGCTATAATGCTTAGTGAGAGTTAGGTCTTGTTAAGTGTCAGAAAGTCAAAGAGCAAGTTCTAACTTTGAGAGAGTCTTGGACTTAGCAAGGAAGTCTCCTCTGGGTTAACGAAAACTCTGTTTGTTTTAATCATAGGATAAAGAAAATCAATAGAGCAAGGAAACAATGTATCTCTATTTTTTAGTAGAAAACATGTATTTTTTTTTTATAAAGATAAGAAATATTATAAAAATAGACACAACAAGAATTGAACTTAGGTCCTCATGCTTCTAACTACTCTAACCCCTCCCCACTCAATGGTTAAACATGTTATATAGTTTGAGATATTTCAAAAGTTTAATTAATTTGTGAAATTATTTTGAATTTAAATTTAAACTCAAAATAATTATTTTATTAATTATAGGTTTTAGAACTTAATTAATATTAGTTTTAATGAGATGTAATAACCTAATCATTGTAGTTTTAATTAATTTTAATTATCAAATGTTTTATTAATTAATTAGTTTTAATTTTTGTAATTAATTATAGTTACAATGACCAATATCTCATTCTATAAATATTGAGAATCAGTAGGAATCAATTCTTTTTTTTGTTTTCTCATTTCTAGGTTAGAAATTTGTTAGTTTTGCATCTCTACCAATCTAGTAAAGATTTTATCATATCTTCGGAGACTTGTATGAGAGTTTGCGCATAAGTCCTTTAAGACAGTACATTACATACCTCAGGAGTTCAAATTATTTTATGCTCTCAATTTCACACAACAATTTAGAAGACTTATAAGTTATCTATGGAAATTTTTAATAAATATGAGAGATGAGCACGAGACTATGAGACAAATTATTATCACTTCACTTTGGTATGAATAAATAGAGCGAAGGAGAAAATTGATATTTGATTTACCTTATAATTCTTAAAACATAACTACCTATATAATATGTATATATTTTCAGTAGCGGCTGCAGCTAGCTCAATGCCGGAAGAAAACAATAGATACGTTGACAAAAGGGAGACTTTGTTTCTGGCTGCGGCGAAGAACGGTATTGTGGAGATCCTGTTCGCGGTTTAGGACAAAATACCGAGCACTGTGCTCGAAACCAATTCCAACAACGAAAACATGTTGCTGGTTGTAGTGAAGAATAGACAAACCAAGGTCGTTGAGGTGCTGAAAAAGAATTTGGATAAGGATCTGTTTGTTAGCTTGATTTTGGAAGTGGATAATATGGGGAGAACACCGTGTTGCACCTGGAAGCAAGTTCAAGAAACAGCGAAAGAAGATAGCTAATAGCCGGCATTGCGACGCAAATTATGTTCAACATCAACTGGCTTCTGGTGTGTATATTTATATTGCTACTGCTGCTCTTCTCTTCATACAAAGTAACATTATAAAACCGACCTTTAGGGCAAAAGTTACTCTCACTTAAATACTCTATGTCGATCGTCCACGTGAAACTGAGTTTTTCTCGATAATTATTATTTGAAATTATATTTGCTCCTTACCTATGTAATTAATCTATCAAGACAACAGAGATATAAATTTTAGAATCAACTTAACCTATGTAATTAATATATTAAGAGAAAATGAGATATAAATTTTAGAATTAACTTAACAAAAAAAATTGACTAGTAGAATGAGAATTATTTTCTACTTATATATGTTATAATGGTTGTATCATTAGTCAATGTAACATTTTCAACACACACTTTCCTTGTGCCAAGGATTTAGCATCTTATTTGTAGGACCGAACATATTCGGATGGTTTGATGACTACCTAATAACGAGTGGTACAATAGGTCTAACAACATTTGTTAGAATAAACTCTGATATCTCTGAAGAAAACATATTATGGTAATGATAAGTTCAACAAAGTATGACACAATTATAACCTTATACATTGACTTTATAAGGATGAATTAGGCTCATAACCTACTTCTTTAAGGTCGTATCAAAGTCTAATCCTACTAATTATTGATTATTATTAGGCTTATCGTGTCACCCGATATCAGATTATTATCAGACCACTCACATATGTCTAGTTCTGTAAACTTCACACTCAAAATGTTTGATCAACCACTATATATCCCTAACGAAACCAAGAAGGGTAAGCCTTCACACTACTATATTTTAGTTTTTTAGCAATATTTTCTTTCTTACATTTGTTAAAATGTTACTATATATTGAATATATAGGTTATTTTACTATATTTTAAAAAAAATGTTATTATAGATAGAGTAACATTTTTTATTTCAATATTATTATTTTCAGTTGTTTTCAAAATTAGTCTCATATCGAGTAAAAAAAATGTCATATAAGTTATTTTGCAACATTTTTTTTTCATGAAAAATGCTACTATAAATAATTTTTTTTAGCTCAACATTGTTCTTTTTAATTGTTTCTAAACTCAAGTCTAACATTGAGTAAATAAAAAACATATTTCTTTCATCTTTAATTATTATCTATAATTAAAGTCGCACATCGAATAAATGAATGACTCATAAAAATCATATATAATCATATAGTTAAACTTAAAATAAATGAACTTTGATATTTAATATATAATTAGTGGTAAATAATTAAAAATATCTTCAACTTTTTCTTAAAGAAGTCCTAGGAGTTTAGGAGGTATAAAACTATAATAATTGATAGTTTTGCAAAAGCAAATTAGTAACATTTATATTAAATTTGTGTTGTAGTGCCAATTGAAGGCCAACTTGTATTCGATGCGTTTGCTATTGCTTTGTTAATGGAACTTTGCTTCTCCATAATGGAACTCATAGTGTTCCTCGCCGTATATTCTTCTGAAAAACAACTTGAAGACTTCTGCAAGAGTTTGCCCTTGAAGCTTCTTATCGGCTTAAGTTTTCTCTTCCTCTTCACCGATTCAATGATCATTTCCTTTTTCCCTGCTCATTTCTTTGTCTTTAGGGATAAGTATAAGAACAAACTCTTCTGTAACATGTGGCAGTCGGAATTTGGCATCTAGATCAGTTAAAATGGTTGACCATGTGTCAAGCATTCTGGAAGGTGCGGAAGATGTTGGCCATAAGTCAAGTGATGAGGGAGAGGAAGTTGTGAGAAGGAGTTCATGAGATTGAATATTTGAAGGATTTTGTGGCATAGGAGAAGAGACTTTTGTCTGGTATCGAGTTTTCCCTCTAATTTTTCTCTTTCAGAGTCTCTTATTCACTTCATTTTGAATTCTTTTTTTCTTCACGATTCAGGTTTTGACCATAGAGTTAAGCAGTTCGGATGAATTAGTGTTGTCTTGATTTTCTTGTAAATTCTTTATGTTTTCTTTTGTATCATTTTGTACATATTTGTGAACTGTAAAATACAAGAAATCGTTGTTTCCATTCCATATTAGATCTATATTGTTTCATTGGTGCTTTCATTGACATCAATGGTTGAGAATACACGATTGAGGGATTTACAAACACAAGTGGAAAATCATGGTGAAGAACTTAGGCCTTTAATGGAGATGATAGAGTTTCATGATCAAACTCAATACAAATTAACAAACCAAATGCAGAATTGTTTGTGTGGAGGATTTCGTTTGTAGGTTCTTTTTATTCGAACTAGCACGGTTTCACGTTTCAATTTATGCGTGTTCGTGACATGACAGTATCGAAGACTTTCAGTGAAAAAATAAAAATGTACAAGCAACAAATAGAGTTAAATTAGGGTGTTGTTTCAGCACGTCAGAAGATCTATGCTCATTGTTCGAGCCCTTCAGAAGATCTATGCTGGTTTTAGCACATCAGAAGATCTATGCTCCTGTTTCGAGCACGTCAGAAGATCTATGCTAGTTTTAGCACGTC